CATTTTGCTCCATTTTCCCACAACTTTGAGAGGAAAGTGTCCCCATCATACTTTAACTATCTACCTCTGTGGATTCCCATCCCAGAAGTTGTACCCCTGGGCTCAACACAAGCACAAAATCCTTCCTAAAGAAATGATACAAGATAATCTTCCTATAATGTCTGTTTCTTAGAGCAGGGATGTGCCTCCCTCTAGGATGGGAAAGCCTCTGCCTCACTGTAGCTGCTACCTCCATGTAAACTGGCAAGAGGATTCACATTTTCTCTCCCGTTTAAAGATGCGGGGTTAGAGAGGTCAGGACTAAATGGCCACATGATTTCACTGTACCTCAGTTTGCCACTTGGCAAAGTGAGTGAAGTGATCCATACCTATCTTGCAACCAGTAAATGGACGTATTTCCCATAGCAGTCATTTATCATTAGATGGGGTGGACTGGTTGAATTTAGCAAATGCTTGCTCCTTTCGGACCTTCCTATCCATGCAGCACCGTTATTGGGATGCATGCATTACTCAGCAGGGTGCCAGGACAGATCGGTGGTCAGCCACTCCCTCTCGGTGTTTTGGGGTGGAAGTTTGTGTCCGGAAGTGTTGGAAGATTGGTGCAGCTCCCTATATTGCAGGGGTGGGCAATTATTTCGGGCAGAGGTCTGCGTACTGAGTTTTGGCAAGCCATTGAGGCAGCCAGGGGCAGATAAATATTCATTTTCTCAATTTTTTAGGGGCCCCGCGGGCTAGATAGAATGGCCTGGCAGGCCGCATTTTGCCCACCCCTGCTATATCGGGTGGTGGGTTGTGCAGAGATGGGTTTCATTCCTAGGTGAAATTCCTATTTAAGGAGCAGGATTCAAAGTGACAGGACCCCTTCTTGTGTGTGAAGGGGGATGTTGTGAAGGAATTGCTTTCCTGGGTAGAAAGTGTTTGGAAGTGGAAGAGGAAATATAGGTGTCTGAAGGGGAGATGGGGGAGCTCTCTTCCATGTTGGGTGTTTAGCAGAGAGGAATACCCCTTTCACAGCCTAAGACTTATTTTCATTTACATCTCCTTCGTAGTGTTCATTTAAGAGTTTGATAAGGGTGCATAGTGGCCCCTGAGAAATTTTGAGGGTTGACATTGGTCCATGGATCAAGAAAGTCTGGGAACTTTCTTGAACCATTACTGTAGTCCCCACCACGTGCATGGTTTTGCTACCCAGTTTGTCACCCTGTAGACTTTTGAACATGGAGTCACCGTCTTTCCAGATTGTGTGAGTGAATAGCTCACCTGCTGCTTTCTCCCAGGAGAAATAGCTCTTCTGTGAGTAACCACAACTAGCGTATGCAGCTTCCACATTTAGCCCGTAGCCTGAAAATGTCAAATGGTTGCCATACCCTGCTTATCAAGAAGGGTTGAGTGTGCTCATGGAGTCACCTTGGAAAAGAGAGAAATGGTCACCAAGAAAACACAATTGTAAACAAAGTTCTGGAAACGCCTAGGGATTGACAGTGGGATATATTTTTATTTAGACTGACCGCCCCCATGCTCCCTTTAAACAGGAAACAAACTTGCCTTCTCCGGAGAACGCACTAGTTAGAGAGTAGGCAGAAAAGAAAAGAGACCGGGAATGATGCTATGTAAATCATCTGGCTTTTGTATTTACATTGCTTCATTACTATGAAACTATTGCAAAAATCTTTGTGCTTCTCTGAAAAATTCAGTGGAACTGTGGTTAGCTGCTGGTAAGAGTGGATCATCCATTCTGAGCCTAAAACATATATAGGATTTTACAGTGAGCATCTGTGCTGTCCTCAGTGGTTCACCTTGCTTCTTAGGTCTTGATCATTTAAAGTGTGATGAGGTTGGGTTGTTAAAGCAAATGTCTAGGTAATGCAAGAGGATTATAAATAAAGCCGAGGCCAGGCTTTTATGGAATAATTGAAAGGTATGACTTCTGCCTGCCTCACTGTAATGTCTAGGTGCTGAAGGTCTGAATGACCTGGTGATCTGATTGTAGGTTTGAACGACCTAGACCTTCTTGCCCTCACCCCAAGTGGGAATTTGAATCTTAGAAAGGTCAGGTCAGCCATTTGAGGTAAGTAAAGCAAGATTTTGCTATGTGTGACTCAAATGAACCTGAAAAAGCAAAGGGTTATCTGTTTTGGTTATGCTTTAAAAAAAAAATAACCCACCAAAAAATCCCCAAAATGGCATTTCTTCCCCGTAGTAAGGTTTGTACCTGGTTCTTGAATAAAATGTAACATTTTCTTCTATTCTGTCTTCCCTATGCCCCTCTCCCTTCTACTATCGCTGCATTGCAGTCTTCTAGTCACCAGTTTCTACCTGCTACTGAAGAAGTAGGAGCATTGCAATGGTGCTGTACGTGTATAAGACCCAATTCACAACCCTTTCTAATGCACTCAGTCCTTTGTAAATAGTCCCCTTGCTATTAATTGGACTCATTAGATGAAGAGGGACTGTTTGAGGTTTGCAAGACCAGGCCATAAGTGCTCCGGGGCCCTTCAGGCTCTCCAGTAATACCTCCTACAAGGGGAACTGGTGTATAAGTGGTGAAGCAGTATGTGATGCATGTGGCTACCATGTGATGTGGTTGGCCTTTGGCAGATAGTTGGGATTATGGTCTGTACATGTGTCTATAAAAGGTTTTGTCTCACTTCATCTTGCACGTGCAAAGCTCACTACAGCCATGCACTGTTCATTTTGGAGCAGTGTCTGTGGCTACAGCAACTGAGACAAGGTAAAATTTAAGCAAAAGGGCAGCAGGCAGTGACTTGGGCCATGCTGCCTTCTCTTTCTCACTTAGCAAGGATGCCCTGATAACATGGCATGGCTTTGTATTTCCCTTCGCGCGTGTGCAGTCCCATGTAGAAAGCACATTCCACCCCCAGCCATCCCCAAGAGAAACATGCACTCAGGATTTGCTTTATCAATCCTAATGTGCATCTGTGCCTGGCAAAACCAGCAGCATTGACTATATCAGTGTTGAGTATAAAGTGTTACCTGAAGGGATGCAGAAAAAGGGTGGCCTGGGTGAACTCAGACTTGAGAGATTTGGGTTCAATTCTCCTTCTGCTACAGGCTCATTTATTTGTTTTGGACAAATCTCTTAATCTCCCTGTGTATAATTTCTCCATCTGTAAAATGAAAACTTGAATAATGTCTTTCTTTTAGCATAAGGCTGGCTATCCGCAGGGCTCTTGGAAGCAGGGTTTGGCCTTCATTTTTCAGGGAGGGCTGTGGAAATCATAAAGGATATAAAGAGAAGAGGCAAGGGATGGCCTTTTCCTGCCATTCTTCCATTTTGTCTATTTAGACTGCAGGTTCTTTGGGGCAAGGGCTGTCTCTTCAGGTACGTGCCTAGCATAAGGGATCTTAGCTGGGATGCTCATGACTAAAAGGTTACGCTTTTGTATAGTCCTTTTCACGTTCAGGTTAATCTTTGAGCCAAGATTATTCTGATGGGTTTCCCTTCAGAAAATCAGGACCATGAGGCAGCCACAAAGTAGGGCAGGGACTCGTGCTACACGAAAAAGACGGGGGTAAGGTGAGAGGAAGGAAAAAGTACAGGATGTAATCCTGGCCCCAGGGAAATCATTGGGAGACTAGCCAGGATTTCACCCACAATGTCTGGGAGGAAAGGTGCGTGCGCCTATAACAGCGTTGTTGTATAACGGCTTGGTTAACAGATGCTAGCAGCATGTCTGCCTCATTCTGGTTGGCGTTAGGAGGTGCTCTATGACAACCTGTCTGCCCACTTACTTCTACTCCATGCAAGTTGTGTGCTGAGAAAAGCCATGTAATAACTAGCGGTGTTACTGGAGAATTGAAGGGGAGATGCCCTGTACTCTCCAAGAGCATGAACATGTAAGATGAAAGCCCACCGTGCTTCTGGGAGGCCCTTTCTTTGTTCTGCACCTTGTAATGAGAGCAGCACTCTATCCGAAAGGGCTTGGAAAATGTTTCCAGCACCCACTCGCCAGAGGCATGGTTGGAAAGGGGTCTGATAGCCGTGAGATACTGGAGTAATGCCTTGCTGAGCGAGCTTGCAGCTGAGAAAGGAAGATGCTGAGACCTTTCTTTATCTGCACTTCAATATTTTCCCATCGGCACTGACAGTGGGCATGTCTACACGTGCATTAATGTACTGTAGTTACTGTACATTACATTTAGTACCTGTAATAACAGGTGCTAATGCAATGCGCAGTAACCGGTGCTACTATGCCGCAGTGCCGGCGCACGCTTTTTTGTAACGCTGATGTGCAGTAGACTAATTCTGCTGTGCATTAGCACGGTTTTTGCCTGCCATGCTAATGTACAGTAGAATTGGCCTATTGCACCCTTAGTGTCTTGTGTAGATGTGCCCAGTATCACTTCCTAGTTTTATTATTCCATGGACAGAGCAGTCGCCTGCCTCTGTTTTGGTTTTTTTTGTAGTCAGAGGTTGGGTAAAACTGGAGCTGATTCGTGATGATTTGCCTGGTCCCCACAGAGTTCTGAATAGGGGCAGTGAAATGGGCTAGAAACTTGCTTGAATTTAAATCGGAACCACTTAGAAAAGCAGTGACCAAGAGCCACAGCACTGGAGCAGTTGATCTGTCTGTATCCTTCCCATTTTGTTTGTAGCCAGAAAGCTAGAAATGCTATATATTATTTTAAAAGAAAGCTCAGACTCTGTTGTTCTGTTGACTTGGCGGCCCCCATAATACATGTTTTCCAGGTTGAGTTTTCTGTTCTTAAAGTAGGAGTTTTTCAAGACTTACTGGACTCCATTTTTACACCCTTGCTAGACCTTTGGGACAGGTTCCTGTAGCACTGATCAACCCTTGCTATATGGCATGGTGGATTTTTAGAACGAGCATAACTCTGTACGTCATACAGCGATAAGGTGGCATATAATAATTGCTAAAGCTTCCATGGGAGGTGTGCAGAACTTTCTGTGTTTGCTGCTGTCTTTCTGTCTGTCCGGTTCTTCCTGTATGGTAACTGCTTTCTGCAATTCCTTGCAGGATTCTGAAGGAGGTCTCTACGTGTGCATGAACACGTTTCTGGGATTTGGAAGGGAACATGTTGAAAGGCATTATCGGAAAACGGGACAGTGTGCATATATGCATCTGAAACGACACGTGATAGAGGTGAGATTTGCAGCTTTCAAACCAGCTTTGTTGGGAAGTTCTTAGGACACACGCACACACACGCGCGCACACCCCCCATTTCTTGGAGAGGGGCCAAACCTGCAATGTCAGATGTGACCCTTTTCAAATATTGGGCTGGATGGGTATTAATTTCATACCCTTGGATCCAGATCCAACCCTGCTGTTTTGATTCTGGGCTGGATCCCAACCCACCAGAGGCCATACTTTTAAAGGTATTGTGTTGTGTACCAACAGGTTCACATAGACATCTGAGTCATATTTAAGGCCCCTGCCACTGATTTTGCTAAGTGCC